TATATAAATATATGAACACATATACACATACCCTGACAATAGAGACTGTATCATTTTTCCCAATAAGGAAAAATAGTATAGAATAATCTATACTATACTCTTTAGCTACAATGATATAAAGTAAAACATGAATAACGAAAGTGGAAACATAAATGACATGAAAAACTTAAAAGTTCTCTTGAACAACCCTTGGGACAAAAAAGAAATCACAATCAAAACTGCAGAATGTTTATAAGTGTTTTTCAAATTTTTGTCTTTATAATAAAGACCAACAATAAGAAATACCTTTTACATTATTACTTAGCATGATGCTTCTGTGTATGTACACTCTGGATTTTCAAGTTAAAAACAAAGTTAATATCAAATATGACTTTATATTTAAATACTACAGAGAAAAAAATCATAAAACAACAAGAAATATTAGTAATGATTTTACTTAATTCAAAAGGTATGGTTTCATATTTTAAATTTACTCCAGTCTTGAACATATGAAGACAATCATCTATGCACATCTGGCATACTACAGAATCTATTTTTTATTTTTAAGTTAGGTTAAACTTGAAAATCCTACTTCAAACAAAAAGGCTGTGGTAAGCAGTAAGAAAGAATGTCAAAATTCTTCTTGCATAAAAACAGACATCCTTTAATCTTAACACAAAATGATAAACTCAGTGTTCTTTAATTATTCTTCAGTATAATTATGGTCTAAATTGCAATTATCCATTCTTTTCTTCAGGTTTAACAAGTTTAACTCACTGACTCAGTTCTGAAAAGCAAATGGGTGGTCTATAATTTTTATGTTTAAATTTTTTTCTGGAATGTTTAATAAACATGAGACTTTGTGAGATGGAATAATCTCAGATTTTTGTTTGGTCCTGTAATACTAGGAATTGGACCCGGGGCCTCTGCAATGAGCAACAGCCACAGCAATTTTCTTAAATTTTGGATTTTCTGAAATTGGGACAGATCTTGCTAAATTGCTAAGATGCCCAGGTTGGGCTTGAGCTTCAGATTCTCCTTATCCTCCTAGAGTACTTCTAGTTTTCATTGTAATAAGATACACGTAATATACAATTTAACATTTTGACAGTTATGTGTACAGTTTAGTGGCATTAAGTTAATCTACTGTAATGTGCAAATGCCACCATTATCCATTTCTAGAACTTCTGCATCATGCCAAACTGAAATCCTCTCCCCATTAAAGAATTAATCCTTCATTCTTTTTTCCCAGTCCATGGTGAATTTTTTTCTTTTTTTGGTACCCAGGATCAAACTTAGACCCTTGTGCTTGTGAGGTAGGTAACGGAACCAGCTGAGCCAAATCCCTGGCCCTGGTGAATTCTTTTCTGCTCTCTGTCTCTTAGGTTCTTCATATAAGTAGAATCATCTACTACTGTCATTGTGTGTCTGGCTTATGTCACTTAGAGAAAAGTTTTTTAGATTCATCCATATTGTAATATGTCCCCGAACTTCACTCCTTTTTATGACTGAATAATATTCTGCAGTATGTACATACCACAATTTGCTCATCCATCCTTTGGTTAATGAACATTTGGGTTGTTTGCACTTTTAGCTATTGTAAATAATGCTGTTATGATTATTAGTCTGCATATATTGCCTCAAGACTCACTTTCTATTCTTTTGGGTTAAACATAGAAATAGGAACACTGAATCATATGGTAATCTTTTTTTTTTGTACCGGGGATGGAACTCGGGTCCTTGTGCTTTCAAGGCAGGCAGCAGAACCACTGAGCTAAATCCCTGGCCCCATATGGTAATCTTATAATTAATGTTTGAGCAACTGCTGTACTATTTTCCACAGTCATTTTACATTTTATATTTCTACATCATTTTATATTTCTACTAGCAATGCATAACAATTATAATTTCTCGACATCTTCAGCTACTCTTAAAAAAAATCTAAACTGTACAGCCATCCTAATCTGTGAAGTTGTATTTTTCTTTTTTAAAAAATCTTATTGAGTTTATTGGCACTTTTGAAGTATACAGTACAGTTACATTCATCACTGGGACCTTGTACCCTTACATGACAGATCTTGGTTCTCATTTTTCTCCATAACCCTGCCCTCCCTTTATGAAGTTGTATTTTTCTGTTTTGTTTTGTTTTGTTTGTAATGGGATTGAACTTGTGACTTTGCACTTGCAAGGCTGGTGGCCAAACCAACCATTGAGCTAAATCCCCAGTCTCCTCTGTGGTTTTGATTTGTATTTCCTGGAGAGTTAAAGATGTTCAACATCTTTTCAAGGGCTTATTGGTCATTTATGTATCTTATTGCTTTAGAGAAATGTTGATTCAAAATCTTTGCCTATTTTTAAATTGGATTTTCTTATGTTGAGTTGTAGGAGTTCTATATCCCTAGCTTTGTTTGCTTTTATTTTTCTTTTGTTGTTGTTTTTGATACAAGGCCTCACTATGTAGTCCAGACTGGCCTTGAACTCACTATATAGCGTTGGCTGGCCTCGAACTCTCAGTGATCCTTCTGACTCAGCCACCTGAGTGTTTAATTTAATTTTGGGGGGTACCAGGGATTGAACTCAGGACCTTGTGCTTGCGAGGCAGGAGGCAGAACCACTGAGCTAAATCCCTGGCCTGTTTAATTTTATTTTGAGACAAGGTCTTGCTAAAAATAAGCCAGGCAAGACTTGAACTTGCGATTGTCCTGCCTCAGAGTCCCAAGTGCTAAGGTTATAGGAGTGTGCCACCATGCCCAGCCCAAGGGATCTCTCCTCTAATATCCTGAGCATCCCCTCATTATTACTGCTGGAAGCACACACTACACTGGAGGATTACAAAATAGTTGTCTTCTAATTTTACTGTTACTTCTAAATTTATTCAATGGCATTCTTCTGTAAAAAGAATTTCTTTCTCTTTTCCTTATTTATATTTATTTATCTTCAGTATCACTATGGACTTAAAAAATTCAATTTATAAGCCATTACCATCATTATACTTCTTCATTTTCAAATTGTTCTAACTTTGGCCTATGAGAACTTCTTTAGGCTGGCTCCTGAGTTCTTTTTATATAAATCCTCCAGTCTCCAGCATTTCCTTGCTTTCTGGCACAACAAAGTATTCTGGCTGAATATAAAATCAAAATAAATGGTAAGGGTGAAAAAGGCTGTGATTGTGGGTAACAAGACACTCTAGATCATCAGCTGCAGGGATGGGAAGAGCCTCTCAATAAAAGGATTTCAACTATTGGTGAAAGGCAAGAAAAAAGTGTATGCCCAACACTAAAGGCCCAATTCATACTTTTCTTTAATAGGGACGCAGATAGAGATTAGAAGTTTAAATCTCCTTTGGTCACTTTAGATCATGATTGAGTCATCTTACAAGCAACTCTTTGAGATGACTTGTTTTGGGGGCTGAATTACAGAGATACATAGAGTAACAAAAATGGAAGTAATTATTAACTCCAGGAAAAGCAAAAGTTGTACAAGAAAGGAAACGAAATTAAAAGTATACCTCATGGTTCATATGAGTAATATTTACAAAAGCATTAAGAATGCATGCATCAGCCGGGCGTGGTGGTGCACACCTGTAATCCCAAGCACTTGGGAGGCTGAGACAGGAGGATTGCTGTGAGGTGGAGACCAGCCTGGGCTACATAGTGAGTTCCAGGTCAGTCTCAACTATGTAGTGAGACCCTGTCTCAAAAAACAAAACAAAACAAAAAAACTAACAAAAAAGAATGCATGCATCAAATGTTAGTTTAACTAATACAACAGTCTATTGATTATATTATAAATTATAGTTAGGATGATGGGAAAACAAAGTATATGCATGTGGATTGGGGTGAAAGAGCTAAATTTACATCTAAATTTCACAACAAACAGTTAAAATAGTTGTCTGGGAACAGGAATTAGGAATGGGGAAAGTTGTCTAGCTTTATAACCTTTGAAATAATGATTTCTTAAACTACATATGGATATTATTCTGATAAAAAATAAATTTAAAAAGGGAGTATTTCCACTTAATAAGCCACCAGATGTACATAGACTCAGGTTTTTTCTGCTATACGGTAAGTATGCTATAATCCCTACATTATATAAACTATTTCAGAGCACAGAGATAGGAAGTTCTCCAGTTCATTCTGAGGCTACCACAACCCTGA